AGTCTAGTGTGTAGTAGTGTAGTGTATAGTAGTGTAGTGTATACTATTGTGGTGTGGAGTGTGTAGTGTATAGTAGTGTAGTGTATGGTAGTGTATAGTGTAATGTATAGTAGTGTAGTGAATAGTAGTGTATAGTAGTGTAGTGTATAGTAGTGTAGTGTATAGTAGTGTATAGTGTTATGTATAGTAGTCTAGTGTATAGTAGTCTAGTGTATAGTAGTCTAGTGTATAGTAATGTAGTGCAGTGTATAGTAGTGTAGTGTATAGTAGTGTAGTGTATAGTGTAGTGTATAATAATGTAGTGTACAGTAGTGTAGTGTATAGTAGTGTAGTGTATAATATTGTAGTGTGTAGTGTAGTGTATAGTAGTGTATTGTATAGTGTAGTGTATAATAGCACAGTGTATAGCAGAGTGTATGATAGTGTAGTGTATAATAATGTAGTGTATAATGTAGTGTGTATTGTAGCGTATAGTAGTGTAGCGTATAGCAGTATGTCTGTTGAAGTTCACGTGCACCATACGTACCGTGCGTAGCCAGCGTGTGAAGTAGAATCGCACTCTCTGTGTGTGTGTTGTAGGGTGCCACTGTGGCTATGGAGATGTTAACTACATCTCCTGGCATGCAGGAGGTCGTGGGGTCGATCCGGAATCTAATGCCACGGTTCACTTTCATTTCAGTTTCATTCATTAGGTGTGGCCCTGTGAGCCATGCGGCTGTTGACTCGGGTGCACAACAAATTCACGAACAGGGAACATCTTAAGCTGACTACGCACAACGGAAAAATCCGATGGAAAAAAAGACATCAAGGTCTTCCAGAGGATAAAAAACACCGTATATCAGCGCTGCGTGCTAAAATCCCAGTGGGATGCAAATCGAACGATAACCATGAGAAAATGTAGATTGAAGTTTCCAGGCTAACTCTGTACTTAAACAGACAAACATGGCTCAACCAAACGTTTTCAAAATCGACCAAAAATAAAGCTATAAAAAAAAACAATGTAACGGCGATCATAGGAACTGTGATTCGTATTTAACAATGAACGATATCTACATAACACGCACGACCTAAACTTTGCAGCCATAGCTGGCAGCATGAGTCACTCCGTAACAGCAGGAGCATCAAGAGCGGTATCAGAAATGTTCAATGCACCTTTAGAGATCGGCGCACCACTACGATCAAAACTCAAGATTCATACTTTGCAGCGCTCATCCGGAGCGGTACATTTGATTTCAGGCCACGGATTCGCAGTGGCAGCTGGGGGTGTACAACTCCTCAAGAGCAGTTTTGAGCGCAGATTTCACCGGTAGTGATCCGAGTTTCAGTTTATTGGCGTTAGCATTCCAGACCCTGGATCCAGCAGGGGTGTCTGCTGATTTTTTTTTGCGGCTGGCAGATGTTAACTACCTCTCCCGGTATGCAGGAGGATCGTGGGTTCGATCCCGAGCCTGACGCCTGCTGATGTATGTTTGGAGTCTGCGTCTCTCCCCGTGGTTGCGTGGATCTGCCTCCGGGTCCTCCGGATTTTTCCCCCCCTCCACATTTAGAATCAACGTCACCACGCGTTTAGACAGAATTTGGCTGCTGCTGCTGCTGTTGCTGCTGGTATAAATTTCCACGCTACGGTGATATCAGTTCACTTTGTTGGGGCATTACCTGGTGAAATAAAAATAGTTTAGTTTTAATATGGGTATCGATGGGTATGGGTTTCTGTGGGTCTCACTGGTTGATATTATTATTATGGGCAACTATGGGATTCTGGTTCTTGATGAGTATGGGTGTCTATAGTTCTGTATGACTATGGTCTCTATCGGTCTATACGAGCCTGGGTCTCTAATGAGTGTAGCATCAACTTGGCTGATATACATTTCCACACGATGATTATGATGATGATGATATCAGCCCACTTCGTTTGGCTATCATTTGTGAAGGCCAGGTCACTTATAAAAATATCTACGTAGGCGGTCTTCACGTTGATGAATCCGCACGACTTTATTTAGACTTTTTGTTCACATTTTTTCTTCTTTTTAACTTTTTTTAGACTCCTAATTTTTTTCATAATGAAGGTTTTTTTGGGTCAGATCGCGTTACTTATAAATGTGTCGTAACCCCCCCCCCACCACCCGACACGGCCAATCAGCAAACAAAACAGTGTCACGTTGAGAAAAGACAAATAAATAGTTCACCACTTTAGCCCACCGGTGTGTTGAAGAGTGAATCCACAACATTTACAGTTTGAGTACGACGTTTCGCTGGTAAATACATCATCAGCATCATCATCGGGAAATTCGCCACAATGGTAAAGCCCTCTCCACTTGCTCCCGGTCTTAAATAGAGCAGCGGGGTGACGTCATCACTTAACTCATATCAGGTGCAGTGATTAGAGGCGGAGTGGTTGGGGGGTATTGTAATTATATAATCGATTAGTAATCGGTCAATGGTTATGATTAGTAATGAGTTGTAGATTAGTAATTAGTTGTAATGTGTGTTAGTGATTATGTGCTATGTTAGTAATCCGTTTAATTGGAATGTGTTTCCCCTATAAGGAATTGTAATGTGCATTCATATTCTTAGCTCCCTCGGCAAAGCCACGCCGAAGGGAAATAACAAATCAACAAACACATATATTCTATTTTGATTTAAAGCTTTCGTGACTGCAGTAATACATATTCTTAGTTTTTTCGCTAAAGTCACGTTGAAGGGAAACAACAAAATAATATAAAATATATATAAAACAATAAAAAAATTAAATTTTGATTTAAAGCTTTCGTGACTGCAGTAATTCATATTCTTAGTTTTTCGGTAAAGTCACGTTGACTTTACCGAAAAACTAAGAATAATAAAAAAATTCTCACATAAAACAATAAAAAATTTCAGGTGTGTTGGTTTTTAATAGTTACATTGGAGAAACCAAACGCCATGTCTCGGACCGCATTCGTGAACACAAAGCAGACCTTAAACACGGTAGGACCAACACCTCGGCCCTGGCAGATCATTGTTCTAATTCAGTAGGCTCACATGCCATTGACTTTTCCAAGACAGAGGTTCTTTGTAAGCCATCTGGCTTCCGTGAGAGATTCGTTCATGAGGCTATCCACATATACAAGCACAGAGACAATTTCAACCGAGAAGATGGATTCTATCTTAGCAATCATTGGAAATATTTGATAAACCATTTCAGTTCTTAATTGATTGTTCACGCTTACAGTGGCTTTCAGACAGCATACATTATAAAAAATTTCGTCTCCCCCCTCCTCTTTTCAGAATATAGATGGACTAGTCCTGGGCAAACTGCCAAATCGCTGCGCGTGGCGCTAACGTTTTTTTATAAATAAATAAATGCGCCGTTTAAAAATTAATTTATGCAAACCAACACACCTGAAGATGACCGTTTGTGTTATGGTCGAAACGTCGTGAGAATTTTTTATTGTTTTATATATATTTTGTTGTTTCTCTTCAACGTGACTTTACCGAAAAAAAATAAGAATATGAATTACTGCAGTCACGAAAGCTTTAAATCAAATTTTTGTTATTGTTTTATATATATTTTATTATTTAGTTGTTTCCCTTCAACGTGACTTTACCGAAAAAACTAAGAACACATATATATTATATTATTTTATTGCTTACCCCCCAACGCGACTCCAGCGAAAGAGCCAAGAACACCTTACTGCTGCTCTATATGAAACTGGGAGCAAGTGGAGAGGGCTTTACCATTCTGGCGAATTTCCCGACGATGATGCTGGATGTATTTACCAGCGAAACGTCACAGTAGTACAACTCAAAGTGTAAGTGTTGTGGATTCACTCTTCAACACACCGGTGGGCTAAAGTAGTGAACTATTTATTTGTCTTTTGTCAACGTGACGCTTTTTTTTGCCGATTGGCCGTGTCGGGTGGTGGAGGGTTACGACACATAAATAAACGCGATCTTACCCAAAAAAAACCTTTATTACGAATAATATTGGTCGCGAAAGCCTACTACGTGTTAAACTTCGAATTTTTTTTTGTACTTTTTTCACTTTCATTGGACTTATTTTTTTTAGCTTTCCTTTTCCCTTCTTAAACTTTTTTTTCCCTTTTTACATTCTTAGACTTTGGAGACGATTTATTTCACTTTTAACTTTAAAAAAAAATGTTAAATTTTTTTTGAGACGATTTATTTCACTTTTAACTCTTTTAAAAAAAAAATGTTAAAAAAAACTTTTTTTCTCTCCAAAAAGATCCCTTCCCGGTGGACCGCAACCACGATGGCCGGCGTCTCGAGTTCACGGGAGCCGAGGTGAGCGAGGAAGCTGCTCCACCACCATCATCGCGTGAAGAGGAGGAGGAGGAGGAGTAGGAAGGGTCTCCACCATCATCGCGTGAAGAGGAGGAGGAGGAGGAGTAGGAAGGGTCTCCACCACCATCGTGTGAAGAGGAGGAGGAGGAGGAGTAGGAAGGGTCTCCACCACCATCGTGTGAAGAGGAGGAGGAGGAGGAGTAGGAAGGGTCCCCACCATCATCGTGTGAAGAGGAGGAGGAGTAGGAGTAGGAAGGGTCTCCACCATCATCGCGTGAAGAGGAGGAGGAGGAGGAGTAGGAAGGGTCCCCACCATCATCGTGTGAAGAGGAGGAGTAGGAGTAGGAAGGGTCTCCACCACCATCGTGTGAAGAGGAGGAGGAGGAGGAGTAGGAAGGGTCTCCACCACCATCGTGTGAAGAGGAGGAGGAGGAGGAGTAGGAAGGGTCTCCACCATCATCGCGTGAAGAGGAGGAGGAGGAGGAGGAGTAGGAAGGGTCTCCACCATCATCGCGTGAAGAGGAGGAGGAGGAGGAGTAGGAAGGGTCTCCACCATCATCGCGTGAAGAGGAGGAGGAGGAGTAGGAAGGGTCTCCACCATCATCGCGTGAAGAGGAGGAGGAGGAGGAGTAGGAAGGGTCTCCACCATCATCGTGTGAAGAGGAGGAGGAGGAGTAGGAAGGGTCCCCACCATCATCGCGTGAAGAGGAGGAGGAGGAGGAGGAGTAGGAAGGGTCTCCACCATCATCGTGTGAAGAGGAGGAGGAGGAGGAGTAGGAAGGGTCTCCACCATCATCGCCATCGCCCGTTCGGTGGCGCGGAGCTGCAGGGGACCGCGAGGGGGGGGCCGTGAGATGTCGCACAGAGGGGACGCTCGGAGCGGAGACGGAGACACAACTAGGGGTGAGGACTTCATAGACTCAGCACTGTCATAGACTCAGCACTGTCATAGACTCAGCACTGTCATAGACTCAGCACTGTCATAGACTCAGCACTGTCATAGACTCAGCACTGTCATAGACTCAGCACTGTCATAGACTCAGCACTGTCACCATAGACTCAGCACTGTCATAGACTCAGCACTGTCATAGATTCAGCACTGCCATAAACTCAGCACTGTCACCATAGACTCAGCACTGTCATAGACTCAGCACTGTCATAGACTCAGCACTGTCACCATAGACTCAGCACTGTCATAGACTCAGCACTGTCACCATAGACTCAGCACTGTCATAGACTCAGCACTGTCATAGACTCAGCACTGTCATAGACTCAGCACTGTCACCATAGACTCAGCACTGTCATAGACTCAGCACTGTCATAGACTCAGCACTGTCATAGACTCAGCACTGTCATAGACTCAGCACTGTCATAGACTCAGCACTGTCACCATAGACTCAGCACTGTCATAGACTCAGCACTGTCATAGACTCAGCACTGTCATAGACTCAGCACTGTCATAGACTCAGCACTGTCATAGACTCAGCACTGTCATAGACTCAGCACTGTCACCATAGACTCAGCACTGTCATAGACTCAGCACTGTCACCATAGACTCAGCACTGTCATAGACTCAGCACTGTCATAGACTCAGCACTGTCATAGACTCAGCACTGTCACCATAGACTCAGCACTGTCATAGACTCAGCACTGTCACCATAGACTCAGCACTGTCATAGACTCAGCACTGTCATAGACTCAGCACTGTCATAGACTCAGCACTGTCACCATAGACTCAGCACTGTCATAGACTCAGCACTGTCATAGACTCAGCACTGTCACCATAGACTCAGCACTGTCATAGACTCAGCACTGTCATAGACTCAGCACTGTCATAGACTCAGCACTGTCATAGACTCAGCACTGTCATAGACTCAGCACTGTCATAGACTCAGCACTGTCATAGACTCAGCACTGTCATAGACTCAGCACTGTCACCATAGACTCAGCACTGTCATAGACTCAACACTGTCATAGACTCAGCACTGTCATAGACTCAGCACTGTCATAGACTCAGCACTGTCATAGACTCAGCACTGTCATAGACTCAGCACTGCCATAGACTCAGCACTGTCATAGACTCAGCACTGTCATAGACTCAGCACTGTCACCATAGACTCAGCACTGTCATAGACTCAGCACTGTCATAGACTCAGCACTGCCATAGACTCAGCACTGTCAGCATAGACTCAGCACTGTCATAGACTCAGCACTGTCACCATAGACTCAGCACTGCCATAGACTCAGCACTGTCATAGACTCAGCACTGTCAGCATAGACTCAGCACTGTCATAGACTCAGCACTGTCATAGACTCAGCACTGTCACCATAGACTTAGCACTGTCATAGACTCAGCACTGTCATAGACTCAGCACTGTCATAGACTCAGCACTGTCATAGACTCAGCACTGCCATAGACTCAGCACTGTCACCATAGACTCAGCACTGACATAGACTCAGCACTGTCATAGACTCAGCACTGTCATAGACTCAGCACTGTCATAGACTCAGCACTGTCATAGACTCAGCACTGTCACCATAGACTCAGCACTGTCATAGACTTAGCACTGTCATAGACTCAGCACTGTCATAGACTCAGCACTGTCATAGACTCAGCACTGCCACCATAGACTCAGCACTGTCATAGACTCAGCACTGTCATAGACTCAGCACTGTCATAGACTCAGCACTGCCATAGACTCAGCACTGTCACCATAGACTCAGCACTGACATAGACTCAGCACTGTCATAGACTCAGCACTGTCACCATAGACTCAGCACTGTCATAGACTCAGCACTGTCACAGACTCAGCACTGTCATAGACTCAGCACTGCCATAGACTCAGCACTGTCATAGACTCAGCACTGTCATAGACTCAGCACTGTCACCATAGACTCAGCACTGTCATAGACTCAGCACTTTCATAGACTCAGCACTGTCATAGACTCAGCACTATCATAGACTAAGCACTGTCATAGACTCAGCACTGTCATAGACTCAGCACTGTCATAGACTCAGCACTGTCATAGACTCAGCACTGTCATAGACTCAGCACTGCCATAGACTCAGCACTGTCATAGACTCAGCACTGTCATAGACTCAGCACTGTCACCATAGACTCAGCACTGTCATAGACTCAGCACTGTCATAGACTCAGCACTGTCATAGACTCAGCACTGCCATAGACTCAGCACTGTCACCATAGACTCAGCACTGACATAGACTCAGCACTGTCATAGACTCAGCACTGTCACCATAGACTCAGCACTGTCATAGACTCAGCACTGTCACAGACTCAGCACTGTCATAGACTCAGCACTGCCATAGACTCAGCACTGTCATAGACTCAGCACTGTCATAGACTCAGCACTGTCACCATAGACTCAGCACTGTCATAGACTCAGCACTTTCATAGACTCAGCACTGTCATAGACTCAGCACTATCATAGACTCAGCACTGTCATAGACTCAGCACTGTCATAGACTCAGCACTGTCATAGACTCAGCACTGTCATAGACTCAGCACTGCCACCCATAGACTCAGCACTGTCATAGACTCAGCACTGTCATAGACTCAGCACTGTCACCATAGACTCAGCACTGTCATAGACTCAGCACTGTCATAGACTCAGCACTGTCACCATAGACTCAGCACTGCCCATAGACTCAGCACTACCACAGACTCAGCACTGTCATAGACTCAGCACTGTCATAGACTCAGCACTGCCATAGACTCAGCACTGCCATAGACTCAGCACCATCACCATAGACTCAGCACTGTCATAGACTCAGCACGGTCATAGACTCAGCACTGTCATAGACTCAGCACTGTCATAGACTCAGCACTGTCATAGACTCATCACTGTCATAGACCCAACACTGTCATAGACTCAAACTCAGCACTATCATAGACTCAGCACCGTCACCATAGACTCAGCACTCTCATAGACTCAGCACTGTCACCATAGACTCAGCACGGTCATAGACTCAGCACTGTCATAGACTCAGCACGGTCATAGACTCAGCACTGTCATAGACTCAGCACTGTCATAGACTCAGCACTGTCATAGACTCATCACTGTCATAGACTCAACACTGTCATAGACTCAGCACTGTCATAGACTCAGCACTGCCACAGACTCAGCACTGTCACCATAGACTCAGCACTGTCACCATAGACTCAGCACTGCCATAGACTCAGCACTGTCATAGACTCAGCACTGTCACCATAGACTCAGCACTGTCATAGACTCAGCACTGTCATAGACTCAGCACTGTCATAGACTCAACACTGCCATAGACTCAGCACTGTCATAGACTCAGCACTGTCATAGACTCAACACTGTCATAGACTCAGCACTGTCATAGACTTAGCACTGTCATAGACTCAGCACTGTCATAGACTCAGCACTGTCATAAACTCAGCACTGTCACCATAGACTCAGCACTGTCACCATAGACTCAGCACTGTCATAGACTCAGCACTGTCATAGACTCAGCACTGTCATAGACTCAGCACTGTCACCATAGACTCAGCACTGTCATAGACTCAGCACTGCCATAGACTCAGCACTGTCATAGACTCAGCACTGTCATAGACTCAACACTGCCATAGACTCAGCACTGTCATAGACTCAACACTGTCATAGACTCAGCACTGTCATAGACTCAGCACTGTCATAGATTCATCACTGTCATAGACTCAACACTGTCATAGACTCAACACTGCCCACAGACTCAACACTGCGCCGTAGACTTAACACTCCGTACACAGAAGCCACGTGGTTTTACTGGAGGCTTGATCTGGTCTACAGCGAGAGAGATCATCAGCAGCAGCCTGAGTCTCTCTCTGCTGTGCTGAATTTCATTCGGCGCAGGTGACGTTGAGCAGGAGCAGAAGGAGGAGGAGGTGGCCGCCGCCGTTCGTCCAACGGAGCCGTCGGTTAGCGGAGGAGATGTTGAGGGATGCTGGAGTGAGACGCGCGTGCAGGTGAAGGTGGAGAGACAGGAGGAGGAGGGGGACGACGATGAGAGTGAGTGCTTAAGTCTCTGGATCTCTGTGGGACTCTATGATTTAATGAGTCGCTGTGGGTCTCTGTGGGTCTCTATGGGGCTCTATGAGAATAAGTCTTTGTGGGTCTCTGTGGGTCTGAGAATGAGTCTCTGAGTCTCTGTTAGTCTCTGTGGGTCTCTTATAGTTGTATATAAGTCTCTGAATCTCTGTGGGTCTCGATGAGAATGGGTCTCTGTGGGTCTCTCATAGTTGTATATAAGTCTCTGAATCTCTGTGGGTCTCTATGAGAATGAGTCTCTGTGGGTCTCTGTTGGTCTGAGAATGAGTCTCTGTGGGTCTCTGTTAGTCTCTGTGGGTCTCTTATAGTTGTATATAAGTCTCTGAATCTCTGTGGGTCTCTTATAGTTGTATATAAGTCTCTGAATCTCCGGGCCACGGCCCAGGCAAGGGACAGGCGGCTGCCTCGACCACGCCTGGGGTCGCGATGCCGCCGGTTCGCCAGGGACTGCCGCTGTGGGGATGTCATGGGTCCGTGGCATCGCAGGTGACTCTAAGCTAAATCTTTATCTTTTTATTTTAACCAGGTAAGGCCTCACTAAGTTGGTCTTCGTCACAAGCGGCCTGGCCATCACAAACTAAACTCTTCAACTATTAACTCTGTTTACGTGACCAGGTAAGGCCTCACTGAGAGTCTAGATCTTCACAAGTGACCTGGCCATCACAAACTAAACTCTTCAACTATTAACTATGTTTATGTGACCAGGTAAGGCCTCACTGAGAGTGTAGATCTTCACAAGTGACCTGGCCATCACAAACTAAACTCTTCAACTGTTAACTATGTTTATGTGACCAAGTAAGGCCTCACTGAGAGTGTAGATCTTCACAAGTGACCTGGCCATCACAAACTAAACTCTTCAACTATTAACTATGTTTACGTGACCAGGTAAGGCCTCACTGAGAGTGTAGATCTTCACAAGTGACATGGCCATCACAAACTAAACTCTTCAACTGTTAACTATGTTTACGTGACCAGGTAAGGCCTCACTGAGATTGTAGATCTTCACTAGTGACCTGGCCATCACAAACTAAACTCTTCAACTATTAACTATGTTTATGTGACCAGGTAAGGCCTCATTGAGAGTGTAGATCTTCAGAAGTGACCTGGCCATCACAAACTAAACTCTTCAACTATTAACTATGTTTACGTGACCAGGTAAGGCCCCACTGAGATTGTAGATCTTCAGAAGTGACCTGGCCATCACAAACTAAACTCTTCAACTATTAACTATGTTTACGTGACCAGGTAAGGCCTCACTGAGATTGTAGATCTTCACTAGTGACCTGGCCATCACAAACTAAACTCTTCAACTATTAACTATGTTTATGTGACCAGGTAAGGCCTCACTGAGAGTGTAGATCTTCAGAAGTGACCTGGCCATCACAAACTAAACTCTTCAACTATTAACTATGTTTACGTGACCAGGTAAGGCCCCACTGAGATTGTAGATCTTCAGAAGTGACCTGGCCATCACAAACTAAACTCTTCAACTATTAACTATGTTTATGTGACCAAGTAAGGCCCCACTGAGAGTGTAGATCTTCAGAAGTGACCTGTCCATCACAAACTATGTTTATGTGACCAGGTAAGGCCTCACTGAGAGTGTAGATCTTCAGAAGTGACCTGGCCATCACAAACTAAACTCTTCAACTATTAACTATGTTTACGTGACCAGGTAAGGCCTCACTGAGATTGTAGATCTTCACTAGTGACCTGGCCATCACAAACTAAACTCTTCAACTATTAACTATGTTTATGTGACCAGGTAAGGCCTCACTGAGAGTGTAGATCTTCAGAAGTGACCTGGCCATCACAAACTAAACTCTTCAACTATTAACTATGTTTACGTGACCAGGTAAGGCCCCACTGAGATTGTAGATCTTCATAAGTGACCTGGCCATCACAAACTAAACTCTTCAACTATTAACTATGTTTACGTGACCAGGTAAGGCCTCACTGAGATTGTAGATCTTCACTAGTGACCTGGCCATCACAAACTAAACTCTTCAACTATTAACTATGTTTATGTGACCAGGTAAGGCCTCACTGAGAGTGTAGATCTTCAGAAGTGACCTGGCCATCACAAACTAAACTCTTCAACTGTTAACTATGTTTATGTGACCAGGTAAGGCCTCACTGACAGTGTAGATCTTCACAAGTGACCTGGCCATCACAAACTAAACTCTTCAACTATTAACTATGTTTATGTGACCAGGTAAGGCCTCACTGAGAGTGTAGATCTTCACTAGTGACCTGGCCATCACAAACTAAACTCTTCAACTATTAACTATGTTTATGTGACCAGGTAAGGCCTCACTGAGAGTGTAGATCTTCACAAGTGACCTGGCCATCACAAACTAAACTCTTCAACTGTTAACTATGTTTATGTGACCAGGTAAGGCCTCACTGAGAGTGTAGATCTTCACTAGTGACCTGGCCATCACAAACTAAACTCTTCAACTATTAACTATGTTTATGTGACCAGGTAAGGCCTCACTGAGAGTGTAGATCTTCACAAGTGACCTGGCCATCACAAACTAAACTCTTCAACTATTAACTATGTTTACGTGACCAGGTAAGGCCTCACTGAGAGTGTAGATCTTCACAAGTGACATGGCCATCACAAACTAAACTCTTCAACTATTAACTATGTTTATGTGACCAGGTAAGGCCCCACTGAGATTGTAGATCTTCACAAGTGACCTGGCCATCACAAACTAAACTCTTCAACTGTTAACTATGTTTACGTGACCAGGTAAGGCCCCATTGAGATTGTAGATCTTCACAAGTGGCCTGGCCATCACAAACTAAACTCTTCAACTGTTAACTCTGTTTACGTGACCAGGTAAGGCCCCATTGAGCTGCATAGCTCTTTTTGAAAGGTGACCCTGACCATCACAAGTGATAGCCCAACAAAGTGGGCTGATATCATCATCGTCATCGTCGTGTGGAAATGTATAGTGGCCACATTGATTCTTCACTCATCAGAGACCCATAGAAACGCATATAGATCCAGAGAGACCCATACTCCTGTAGAACCAGAGACCCACAGTTTGCGCGTCTCTCTCGCCCCGTGGTCACGTGGATTTTTCTCCGGCTCCTACGGTTTTCCCTCCGCATTTAGAATGAACGTCACGCGTTTTAGAATATTAGGCTGCTGCTATTTGAATTTCCACGTGATGGCGATAAGCCCCATTTGTGGTCAGGTCGCTTCTGAAAAATAAGCTAATTACAGTAGAACCTCAGAGATCGAACGCACCAGAACTCGACCAAATCGGTGTTCGAACGATGTTTCCGAACATTTTTTGCCCCGGAAACCGAATGAAATTCGCAGGTCGAATGGGCAATCGCGACTTGAAAGAACCTTCTTTGGTTCTTTCGGTAAAGTCACCACGTAGAATGAGAATAAAATAATAAATTGATAAAATAAAATAACACAATAATATTCTCACGACGTTTCGGCCACAACACAAGCGGCCTTCATCAGGTGAAGGGACGAGACTGTCTGGTAGGACAGCGCTGGAGTGAAAGAGCCACGTTCAGATCACGGCCTTTAAGCTGTGTGAGAGGAAACAAAGTGCCTTGACAAAGGAATTAGCATATCATTTAGCATTGAAATGGCTGAGTGATTAGCTTGTGACTGGTCACAGAAATAGCTATGTTAAAAGTTAAAGCATACACATCCGCAGAGGCACCCCTTGACAAAGAAATTAGCATAGAATTTAGCATTGAAATAGCTGAGTGATTAGCTTGTAACTGGTCACAGAAATAGCTACGTTAAAGTCAGAGCATACACATTCAGCCATTTCAATGCTAAATTATATGCTAATTCCTTTGTCAAGAGGTGCCTCTGCGGGTGTGTATGCTTTAACTTAGCTATTTCAATGCTAAATTATATGCTAATTCCTTTGTCAAGGGGTGCCTCTGCAGATGTGTATGCTTTAACTTTTAACATTTCTATTTCTGTGACCAGTCACAAGCTAATCACTCAGCCATTTCAATGCTAAATTATATGCTAATTCCTTTGTCAAGGCGCTTTGTTCCTCTCACACAGCTTAAAGGTCGTGATCTGAACGTGGCTCTTTCACTCCAGCGCTGTCCTACCAGACAGTCTCGCCCCCTTCACCTGATGAAGGCAGCTTGTGTTGTGGCCGAAACGTCGTGAGAATATTATTGTGTTATTGTTATTTTATCAATTTATTATTTTATTCTCATTCTACGTGGTGACTTTACCGAAAGAACCAAAGAAGATGATGAATCCTTGCAGTCACGAAAGCTTTAAATCGAAATTGAAAGAACCTGTACACGGCTGAGACGCGTATTGCCAGCAGCGTGCATGACGCTTGCCCAGACAAAGGGTTTACCGTGTGGGACACTCTCCCTTCCAAACAATAACACCACCACCACCACCTCCTATTCCACCTCACCACCTTCCACTCAAGCCAACAACTCTCCTCTTACCGCAGGTAAAGTGAAGTTCATTGTTCATTTATTTCATTTATTCCATGTATTTATTCATTCATTTCATTCATTTATTGCGTTTCTTGTGTTTTTGTATGATTTTATGCGTGCAGTTACTGTAAACTTCGTGTAACAATGCTTTATAATGAGAGATTTCTTGTGTCTGGAACGAATTAATGTCATTTACATTAATTGTTATGGGGACCCCCTAATCGAACATCTATGCCAGTGTGAGATATACAGGCTGTCCTGCCTATGATCAATCCTGGGTTTAACCAGACTGAATTGTGTGAGGAGCTCACAAATCCTTGAAAGATCTGGGCACAGTCCCATTGGTGGAATGATGTGGCATGAGAGGATGTAGAGCTGAGTGTACCTGCCAATGACTGGTACCAGCAGTATCAAGATCGACCTCTGTGGAGGAGGCTCGTGAAGGGTGATACTGGCCAGTTGGAGTTAGTCGCTCTCCATTAACAACGGAGGGCAGAGAAGCGACGCTCACAACAATGAACGCAGCGCCGGGCGGCTTAAGCACGGCAAGTTGGCACACTAGGGGGCACAGGTGGTGCATCGGCCAGTCATCTGTCAACTCATGGCACCTGGGTCTGTCCCGTGTCCTGCCAGAATTTCTGTGGAGTGGAATTTCTGTGGAGTGGAATTTCTGTGGAGTGGAATTTCTGTGGAGTGGAATTTCTGTGTAGTGGAATCTCTGTGGAGTGGAATTTCTGTGGAGTGGAATTTCTGTGGAGTGGAATTTCTGTGTAGTGGAATCTCTGTGGAGTGGAATTTCTGTGGAGTGGAATTTCTGTGGAGTGGAATTTCTGTGGAGTGGAATTTCTGTGGAGTGCAATTTCTGTGGAGTGCAATTTCTGTGGAGTGGAATTTCTGTGTAGTGGAATCTCTGTGGAGTGGAATTTCTGTGGAGTGGAATTTCTGTGGAGTGGAATTTCTGTGGAGTGGAATTTCTGTGGAGTGGAATTTCTGTGGAGTGGAATTTCTGTGGAGTGGAATTTCTGTGGAGTGGAATTTCTGTGGAGTGCAATTTCTGTGGAGTGGAATTTCTGTGTAGTGGAATCTCTGTGGAGTGGAATTTCTGTGGAGTGGAATTTCTGTGGAGTGGAATTTCTGTGGAGTGGAATTTCTGTGGAGTGGAATTACACTACACTACTATACACTGCACCGTACACTACACTACTATACACTACACTACTATACACTACACTACTATACACTAGACTACTATACACTACACTATACACTACACTACTATACACTACTATACACTACACTACTATACACTTTACTACTATACACTACAATACTGTACACTACACTACTATACACTATACTACTATACACTACACTGTACACTACACTACTATACACTGCACTACTATATACTACACTACACTGTACACTACACTACTATACACTACACTATACACTACACTACTATACACTACACTACTATACCCTACACTATACACTATACTACTATACACTACACTACTATATACTACACTACTATACACTACACTACTACGCACTAGACTACTATACACTACACTACTATACACTACACTACTATACACTACACTACTATACACTACACTACTATACACTACACTATACACTACACTACTATACACTACACTACTACGCACTAGACTACTATACACTACACTACTATACACTATACTACTATACACTACACTACTATACACTATACTACTATACACTACAATACTATACTACTATACACTATACTACTATACACTACACTACTATACACGATACTACTATACACTACACTACTATACACTACTATACACTGCACTGTACACCACTACTATACACTACTATACACTATACTACTATACACTACACTACTATACACTACAATACTGTACACTACACTACTATACACTGCACTGTACACTACACTACTATACACTACACTACTATACACTACACTACTATACACTATACTGCTATACACTACACTACTCTACACTACTATACACTATACTACTATACACTACACTACTATACTGCTATACACTACACTACTATACACTACAATACTGTACACTACACTACTATACACTGCACTGTACACTACACTACTATACACTACACTACTATACACTACACAACTATATACTACACTGCACTGTACACTACACTACTATACACTCCACTAAGCACAGGCTGCAAGTGAAGGTTTAACAACCCCCGGTCTGAATTAATTTTTCCTCCTGCAGTATGAAATGAATCGAACCGATTCTCGCCGTGTCTTTTTCCTTTGTTGCTTTCGGGACAGGCGATGCGGTGGAGCATTCCCCGTCGTGGCCACCGACCGTCAAGCGAGAGGCTGGCGGACACGGGGCTGTGGCTGAGACACGGCCACACGTGAAGGTGGAGCCACAAGAGCCGCACGACGGTGAGTGGACAAATGTGGAGTGGAATCTCTGTGGTGGTGGAGTGGAATCTCTGTGGAGTGGAATCTCTGTGGTGGAGTGGGATCTCTGTGGAGAGGATCTCTGTAGAGTGGAATTTCTGGAGTGTAATCTCTGTGGAGTGGAATTTGTGAAGTGGAATCTGTGGACTGGATTTTTCGTGGAGTGGAATCTGTGGAGTAAAATCTGTGTAGTGGAAGGACGGGTGGTGGTTGCGGGTTGCTGAGGAGATGAAGTCTGCCTCAATGGCCCGCGATCACAAATCCCTCTTTAACTCCATCAATAAAGTAACCTGCAGCGCCACACCTATTACCATCATTATGGGAAAGACCAGTGATCCAATCTCTGACCCCCAGGAACAGGTTTGCAGATTTGCTGAGCATTTCTGTGAGGTCCTGGGGGAGGGGAAATCCCTCAGCCTGGAAAACATCATGGGGCAAAATGGGGATGACCCTGCTGAGGCTGCGGTGCCTCAAATATTAGAGGAGGAAGTCACCCCCTGTGAGTGGCTGGCTGAGGTGCCATCTGTTGAGGAAGTACTAAGGGCAATCCAGAGATGATCTTCCAAGCGAATTGCTGAGGGAGTGTGGCGTTTGTACAGACTGACCTACATGACATCATAACAACAGTCTCGGCCACTGGACTGGTTCCACAGGATTGGAAGGATGCCCTGATGGTCCCCCTCTTTATGAAGGGGGCCCGCACAGACTGTAACAACTACAGGGGCATCTCACTCCTCAGTGTGCCGGGAAAGATCCTGGCAAGGATTATTCAACATCGCCTTGCCAGGCACGCTGAGGAGAGGCTTGCGGAGCCCCAATGTGGTTTCAGGAAAGGGCAGTCCTGCACAGATGCCATATTTTCTGTCCGTCTGCTACAGCAGAGGTGTAGGGAATTCAAACAAGACCTACATCTCTGCTTTATTGACCTGGTCAAGGCCTATGATACCATCAGTAGGCCTGGGCTCTGGGTTGTTCTTCGTGCTTTTGGAGTACCTGACCCTCTGCTCATGATCATAAAGGACCTTCATGACGGTGAGCAGGCCCTGGTAAAACTACGTGGCCAGGAGTCAGAGCCATTCCCTGTACACCTTGGGGTGCGACAGGGATGTCCTCTGGCTCTAACATTATTTAACATCTATTACGGCCACGTAGTTCGTGAAGCCTTCAGTAGCTGTACCGGAGGAATTTCCATCTGGTACAGATACAGTGGGAGGCTGATCGATGCCCGGGTGCGGTCAAGATATGGCTCCCTCTTGGTCAACCATGTTATGTATGCCGATGACCTGGTAATTGCGGCTCACTCAGATGAGGAGTTAGAGGCGCTGCTGCTGAACCTGGAACTTGCCACTAAGAGGTGGGGCCTTACTATCACCCCCACCAAAACTAAGCACCTGCCTGGGTATTTTATACCATCGGGCACTCCACCCCCACAACTCCCAATCGGTGATGGGGCATTTGTGGAGAGAGTGGAGAGTTTCCCATACCTGGGCAGTGTGCTCATGACCGGCTCCGGTTTTACAGCAGAGGTCTCACTCCGAATCAGTCGAGCAGCATTATCTTTTGATCAGTTGCGTAGCGCTGTGTGAAAGCTACCTGGTCTGTCGCTCCGCACGAAGCTTCAGGTCTTCTCGGCCACGGTCATTCTACTGGAGAAGATTTGTTGCACAAGTGTTGCAGCATATGTGTGGGGCCCACATTCTGTCCTGATCTCCAATTTTGCAGCCAAAATAAAGGTGATAGGCTTCTATTTAAAGGTTTCGTGACTGCAATGATTCATCTTCTTTGGTTCTTTCGGTAAAGTCACGTAGAATGAGAATAAAATAATAAATTGATAAAATTATTATTATTGTGTTATTTTATTTTATCAATTTATTATTTTATTCTCATTCTACGTGACTTTACCGAAAGAACCAAAGAAGGTGATAGGCTCCCTTAACCATCGTGGTTATACTGCGCTTTTGTGATGCAAAAGTTACTTCACCACAAACATGGCAGAAGTTATCTGCTTTGTTCACACAATTACGAGGCATCTCTGCTCACTTTGGCTAAACAGAAATGTGTCCCTTTGCAACATCAAACACTGACAAATAAGAGAGCACCACACTGTATGATTTCTAGAGCTGAGGGATGTAAGCCTAGTTATGATTGCATCATTCATGACTTCTAGGAATAACATGATGCAATTCATATCATGTATGATGCAATACCAGGTTCAGATTGCATCATTCATCGTTTTGCTCATAAAGCAAGTACTGTCCAAACCCAGTCATAGATTTATTTCATAGATCCAGTCGAAGATGTATTTTAGTAATTTCTGGTTTAAATTGAGATCCCTTCCCTTTATAACTCACTTATTCTCCACCATTCCCAAGTCAAGGGTCGTATAATGTATACTGACCCAATATGATATCTTGAAAACTCGAGCCAAACAACAATTTTAAGCATCATTTTCATTCTCAGTGACCCAGAATTAGTAAAGTTGGACCACATTTTATTTCGCAAGAATTTTGGCTGTAGACCAGTGTAATTGTCACTGGTTGTTGGTCCGTGAGCGGGAATCGGCCTCGCGTCACCGGGTTCATAGTGCAGCTCAGCGCTGACCGCTACACCACCCTCCGGGGTATGTTTCCGCAGAGCTGAATATTCACGAGGATGTTTTTCATTTTTTGTTGACCCCCTCTTCCCCCCCCCCAGTTCCGGGAGCTCACGTTCAAATTAAAGAAGAGGACCTCCTGGGTGAACAATGTGACCTTCACATTAAACAGGAGAAGGAGGAGGTTGTGGAGGTGGAGGTTGAGGGTGACGATGAAGACGACGAAGAAGAAGAAGAGGAGGAGGAGGAGGAGGCTTTGGACGACCACGTGCGGCGCGACAAATCCTTCCCATGCCCCGGAGAGCCGTTGGCATCATGTCGGGAACTGGCGGCTTCGTCCGATGTGGCGGAGATCGAAGTGACCTTGGAAGAGGAGGACGGAAATGGTGGTGCTGGTGGTGGTAAGGAGCGAGCGTGAATCTCTCTGTGTGTGTGTGTGTGTGTGGGGGGGGGGGAGCGGTAGTGTAGGTGGTTTGCGTGCTGCGCTACGAACCAGGGTGCTTACATTTAAAAACCGCTAAATGCAAGCAGCCTGTATATACACTTGGCTCTTTGGCAGAACTCATCGGGCTACTTTTTACCAGCCCCTGGTCTGTCACAGGTCAGCGCAACCCCTGTACCAGACCTTTCAATTGTTATTTAAAAAAAAAAAAAATCGGGAGCGATTTCGGCGCCTCGAGATGGCGAGCTGTGGTTTTCATGTCGCGTCCAAAAATCCACGGCGTTTCAAAAAACGCGTTAACACTTGTATGGAACTATCGTTTTTTTAATGGAGAAAGAATGGATAACACACCGTAACATGATAACAAATGTACGTTGATATCTTCAAAAAGTCAAAGAGTCTCCACTCTTGATTTAAAGCTTTCGTGACTGCAGTAATTCATATTCTTAGTTTTTTCGGTAAAGTCACGTTGAAGAGAAACAACAAAATAATAAAATATATATAAAACAATAAAAAATTCTCACGACGTTTCGACCATAACTCAAACGGCCAACACACCTGAAGACGACCGTTTGAGTTACGGTCGAAACGTCGTGAGAATTTTTTTTATTGTTTTATATATATATTTTATTATTTTCTTGTTTCCCTTCAACGTGACTTTACCGAAAAAAACTAAGAATATGAGTCTCCACTCGTTCGCTATCATTGCCGACGCATGCCTTGGAATATTCTCCAGGCGGCCTTCAGAGCTCGGGGGCACATTTCCCATGGTATTGTCGTCAAACTCTCAAAAGCGTTTAAAAAAAAACCAAACACAAGTCTCAAGCGCCCCCCCCGTCCCCCCCCCCCCCCCCGTGTGTATCTGTAAATTTCCGCTTGCGTGACGCAGCGACACTGCCGGGAGGCGAGCGGCGGCAGGGGCGGCCCCCAGACGCAGTCCGCGGCAAGGCGCCCCTCGGCAAGAAGCTCCAATTGCCAGCGCGGGGCAGCGGCAGCGGCAGCGGCAGCGGCAGCTGCGGTGGGGCACAATTCCCGGCGGAGCCGAAGCGCCGCGCGGGGGCTCTCGCTGGCGACCGGCCTCACGTCTGCGGCGTCTGCGGCAGGGCCTTCGCCGCGTCGTCCAACCTCAGGAGCCACGCGCGGGTCCACACGGGAGACAGGCCGCACGAGTGCGCCGTGTGCGGCGCCGCTTTCGCCCGCCCGTGGGACCTCAGGGGCCACGCGAGGATGCACACTGGCGAGCGGCCGCACGTCTGCGCCGTCTGCGGCAGGGGCTTCGCGCTGTCCTCGAACCTCAGGTGCCACGCGAGGATCCACACGGGAGACAGGCCGCACGAGTGCCCCGCGTGCGGCAAGGGCTTCATCCGCCCCTCGGCCCTGGCCAACCACGTGAGGACGCACACGGGAGAGAGGCCGCACGTATGCCCGGAGTGCGGGATGGCATTCTTCCACGCCTACGTCCTCAGGAGCCACGCGATAATCCACACGGGGGAGCACCCGTTCCAGTGCCTGGTGTGCGGCAAGGCCTTCGCGCGCCCGTCCAATCTCAGAAGCCACGCGAAGATCCACGCGCGGGCGGGAGAGAAGCCCCCACAGGCGTCGTGAGTGCTGGGAAGGATTTTTTTAGATCTCAGAAACCACGCAAAGATCAACACCTGGGTGGGGCGAAACCCCAATAAGTGTCGTGAGTGCTGGGAAGGCTTTTTTTAGATCTCAGAAACCACACAAAGATCAGCACCTGGGTGGGGCGAAATCCCAATAAGTGTCATGAGTGCTGGGAAGGCTTTTTTAGATCTCAGAAACCACGCAAAGATCAGCACCTGGGTGGGGCGAAACCTCAATAAGTGTCGTGAGTGCTGGGAAGGCTTTTTTTAGATCTCAGAAACCACGCAAAGATCAGCACCTGGGTGGGGCGAAACCCCAATAAGTGTCATGAGTGCTGGGAAGGCTTTTTTTAGATCTCAGAAACCACGCAAAGATCAGCACCTGGGTGGGGCGAAATCCCAATAAGTGTCGTGAGTGCGGGGAAGGCTTTTTTTAGATCTCAGAAACCACGCAAAGATCAGCACCTGGGTGGGGCGAAATCCCAATAAGTGTCGTGAGTGCTGGGAAGGCTTTTTTTAGATGTCAGAAACCACGCAGAGATCAGCACCTGGGTGGGGCGAAATCCCAATAAGTGTCGTGAGTGCTGGGAAGGCTTTTTTTAGATCTCAGAAACCACGCAAAGATCAGCACCTGGGTGGGGCAAAACCCCAGTAAGTGTCGTGAGTGCTGGGAAGGTTCTTTTTTAGATCTCAGAAACCACGCAAAGATCAGCACCTGGGTGGGGCGAAACCTCAATAAGTGTCGTGAGTGCTGGGAAGGCTTTTTTTAGATCTCAAACCACGCAAAGATCAGCACCTGGGTGGGGCGAAACCACAATAAGTGACGTGAGTGCTGGGAAGGCTTTTTTTAGATGTCAGAAACCACGCAAAGATCAGCACCTGGGTGGGGCAAAACCCCAATAAGTGTCGTGAGTGCTGGGAAGGCTTTTTTTAGATCTCAGAAACCACGCAAAGATCAGCACCTGGGTGGGGCGAAACCCCAATAAGTGTCGTGAGTGCTGGGAAGGCTTTTTTTGGATCTCAGAAACCACGCAAAGATCAGCACCTGGGTGGGGCGAAACCTCAATAAGTGTCGTGAGTGCTGGGAAGGCTTTTTTTAGATCTCAGAAACCACACAAAGATCAGCACCTGGGTGGGGCGAATCCCAAATAAGTGTCGTGAGTGCTGGGAAGGCTTTTTTTAGATGTCAGAAACCACGCAGAGATCAGCACCTGGGTGGGGCGAAATCCCAATAAGTGTCGTGAGTGCTGGGAAGGCTTTTTTTTGATCTCAGAAACCACACAAAGATCAGCACCTGGGTGGGGCAAAACACCAATAAGTGACGTGAGTGCTGGGAAGGCTTTTTTTAGATGTCAGAAACCACACAAAGATCAGCACCTGGGTGGGGCAAAACCCCGATAAGTGTCGTGAGTGCGGGGAAGGCTTTTTTTAGATCTCAGAAACCACGCAGAGATCAGCACCTGGGTGGGGCTAAACCCCAATAAGTGTTGTGAGTGCTGGGAAGGCTTTTTTTAGATCTCAGAAACCACGCAAAGATCAGCACCTGGGTGGGGCGAAATCCCAATAAGTGTCGTGAGTGCTGGGAAGGCTTTTTTTAGATGTCAGAAACCACACAAAGATCAGCACCTGGGTGGGGCGAATCCCCAATAAGTGTCGTGAGTGCTGGGAAGGCTTTTTTTAGATCTCAGAAACCACGCAAAGATCAACACCTGGGTGGGGCAAAACCCCAATAAGTGTCGTGAGTGCTGGGAAGGCTTTTTTTAGATCTCAGAAACCACGCAAAGATCAGCACCTGGGTGGGGCGAAATCCCAATAAGTGTCGTGAGTCCTGGGAAGGCTTTTTTTAGATCTCATAAACCACGCAAAGATCAGCACCTGGGTGGGGCGAAATCCCAATAAGTGTCGTGAGTGCTGGGAAGGCTTTTTTTAGATCTCAGAAACCACGCAAAGATCAGCACCTGGGTGGGGCGAAACTCCAATAAGTGTCGTGAGTGCTGGGAAGGCTTTTTTTAGATCTCAGAAACCACGCAAAGATCAGCACCTGGGTGGGGCGAAATCCCAATAAGTGACGTGAGTGCTGGGAAGGCTTTTTTTAGATCTCAGAAACCACGCAAAGATCAGCACCTGGGTGGGGCGAAACTCCAATAAGTGTCGTGAGTGCTGGGAAGGCTTTTTTTAGATGTCAGAAACCACACAAAGATCAGCACCTGGGTGGGGCGAAACTCCAATAAGTGTCGTGAGTGCTGGGAAGGCTTTTTCTTGATCTCAGAAACCACACAAAGATCAGCACCTGGGTGGGGCGAAACCCCAATAAGTGTCGTGAGTGCTGGGAAGGCTTTTTTTAGATCTCAGAAACCACACAAAGATCAGCACCTGGGTGGGGCGAAACCCCAATAAGTGTCGTGAGTGCTGGGAAGGCTTTTTTTAGATCTCAGAAACCACGCAAAGATCAGCACCTGGGTGGGGCGAAACCCCAATAAGTGTCGTGAGTGCTGGGAAGGCTTTTTTTAGATCTCAGAAACCACGCAAAGATCAACACCTGGGTGGGGCTAAACCCCAATAAGTGTCGTGAGTGCTGGGAAGGCTTTTTTCTTGATCTCAGAAACCACGCAATGATCAACACCTGGGTGGGGCTAAACACCAATAAGTGACGTGAGTGCGGGGAAGGCTTTTTTCTTGATCTCAGAAACCACGCAAAGATCAGCACCTGGGTGGGGCGAAACCCCAATAAGTGTCGTGAGTGCGGGGAAGGTTCTTTTTAGATCTCAGAAGCCACGCGAATATTAACACCCGGGCGGGAGAGAAGCCCTGCACAAGTGTTGTGAGTACCACAAGGCCTCTGTGCCCCCCGTGGGATCTATGAGATACTACGTAGATCTTTTTCAGATGCGACCTGGATGTCACAAATTATAGCTCAACAAAGTGGACATTTATAGCAGCAGGAAAATACTCTAAAACGCACGTTTCTGTATGTGGAGGGAAAACCTGTAGGACCCGGAGAAAAATCCACGCGGGAGAACATACAAACTACAAGAACACAGGCGTCAGGGTCGGGATCGAACCCATGATCTCCAGTATACAGGGCGAGGTAGTTGACATCTCCTAGCCACGGCGTCACACTCAGAACACTGGTTGAACACAAGGTACATGAGCTAAATTATTGAAAAAAAACTCGGAGCAGATGTTTCAAGATTCACAAAATGCAAATTGTATAAAAACAAGTATTAAAAATATTAGCACTACTTAAGATGCACGATTGTGTAAATTGGAACACATGGCAAAACTTAATCATTGTGAATCATGTAAACATTTAACTGAACCAGATAAGAAGGTACAAATAAAAATCATAAGAGTATTTCTTTCATGAAATAATTACGATTATTTCATGAAATAATTACGATTATTTCATGAAGGTATTGGCATTAATTTGAACGCAAATAAAATTGTCGCTTTAATCAGCATGGTAATAAACTCACATTTTGAATAAATCGTGAGACTGAAAGATGTTTTATTAATTGTTTTTATTTTGACAGGTAGGGCCCACTTTGCGGAAGCGATCTGGCTATCACAAATGATAACTCAACGAGGTGGCTTTTCATTTGAAAATGTATAGCAGCCAAATACTTTGAGGCATGTTTTTAAATCGTGGACCTCAAAAATGGAGGACCCGGAGAAAAGTCCACACGGCCACGGGGAGAACACACAAAACTCCAAATATACAGCAGGCGGCATGGTTGTGAGTGAACCCACAACCTTCTGTATACCAGGTGAGGTAGTTAACATTCTCGCCAACATGATGCCACTGTATAGGACCATCTTGGCCGTGAACCAAGAAACGCCGCTGTCATTTGCCTGAACAATGCAAGAAACGTGCAGCGCGTCTTTATCGACGTCCTCCGTTTTCGCATTTCGGCAGCGGGCATGTTTTCAACGAAGCGATTTCGGGCCAGAGTGTGTTGCCCCTCGTAGTGGGTGGCATGAGCCACGCACGCTCGGCCAGTCTGTACTTCCCCAGGTTTTTTTTCGCGGCCTCAGGTGGCGCGTGGCATGGCCGTGTTGAGCCGTGCCTCGTCTCCGTTGATAATATGAATTTACACGGCGGTGGTCCCCGTTGCACGCGACGCGAGGCACAGCCTCAAGTCGGCCTTTTGCGCCGCGCCCGCGGCGAATCTTCCCCCCCCTCCCCCCCACTTCTTTTCGCGGCCTTTAGCAGTGCGCGGCTTGCTCCTAATCGGGCCATGCCTGATCTCGCTTGACAGAGGGGGAACCGCTCCCGTTTACGGTGTGAATTGTATGGCGGTGGCCGATCCGAGAGCAGCGTAACAGCCTGAATTTGGCCCCTTGTGCCATGCACACGCGGCAAATCTGTACTTCTCCCGCTCTTTCATTGGCCTGATAAAGAGTGGGAGCCGCTCTGTTCATGATGCAAATTACATGGCGGCGGTCCGTCTGCGCGTGGTGTGCACGCGGCCGCATTAAGTGATATTGCACTTTACCTGCTCTTTCGTGACGTCTGGCGGTGCGTAGCATGGTTATATCGGGCCGTGCCTGGTGTTTTTCTGATCGAGGGGAAACTGAGGTGCTTACGATGTGAATTATACAGCGGTGGCCTGTCGGAGAGCAACGTGAGTACGGCTTAAAGTGGGCCCCGTCACACAATACCTACGGCGAATCCGTACTTCCTCCGCTCTTACATGGCCTCTCGCGGCACGTGGTGCACTCCTATTGGGCCGTGCCTGACCTCAACCTTGCTGGCAGCGAGGGAAGGTTTTCTAAACCGAGGGCCTCCCGGTTCGGGTCGAGCTCTCCCATAAAAAATAGCTGCTCTGCTTAACAACAGCACTCACTCGGTCAACAACAACAACCACCATTCGCCACTAAGTGGCAGTGATGTCACCACGACGCTTGTGCCAGGGTATGTGCACCTTGAGGCCACGTGAAGTGTCGAACGCCCGCTAGCACGAAGGTCATGGGGCAGACCCAGATGCCACAGGTCGACTGACAGAGACGACTGGCTGATGCACCACCTGTGCCCCCTACTGTGCCAACTTGCTGTGCTTTAGCCACCCGGCGCTCCGCTCATTGTTGTGAGCGTTGCTCCTCCGCCCTCCATTGTTGGAGGGCGATTGCCTCCAACTGCCCAGTAGCATCCATAACGAGCCTCCTCCACAGAGGCCGATCTTGACACCGCTGGTACCAGTCATCGGCAAGTCCACTCAGCTCCACGTCTTCCTGTACCACATCACTCCATTTCTTCTCTAGCCCATGCCGCGCCTGTTTAGCCCCCTCGATCCGGCCAAACAAAAGCTGTTTAGGCATGCGGTGGCTGGGCATGTGGGCTACATGACCCAGCCAACGCAGCCTTGCCTGCCATAGGAGCCCACCGATGGGACTTTGTCCAGATCTTTCAAGAATTTGTGAGCTCCTTACACAATCCAGCCTGGTTAACCCAGGATGGACCGTAGGCAGGCCAGCCGAAATGTTTCTAACCAGCGAAGATGCTCCATTTGGGGGGTCCACGTTTAGCAAGTGTAGAATAGGGAGGGAATGACCGTGGCCGTGAAGACCTAAAGATTCGTGTGGAGCGAGAGACCAGGTAGCTTCCACACAGCATTATGCAACCGATGAAAGGATAATGCCGCTCGACTGATTCGGAGTGAGACCTCTGCTGTTAAACCGGAGCCGGTCATGAGCACGCTGCCTAGGTATGGGAAACTCTCCACTCTCTCCACAACTGCCCTATCACCAATTGAGAGTTGTGAAGGTGGAGTGTCCGGTGGTACTAAATACCCAGGCAGGTGCTTAGTTTTGGAGGGGCTGATGGTAAGGCCCCACCTCTTAGTGTCAAGCTCCAGGTTCAGCAGCAGCATCTCCAACTCCTCCTCTGAGTGAGCTGCAATTACAAGATCATCGGCATACATAACTTGGTTGAGCAATAGGGAGCCATCCCTTAACCGCACCCGGGTAATCGATCAGCCTCCAATTGTATATGTAACAGATGGAAATTCCTCCGGTACAGCTGTTGAAGGCTTCATGAACTATGTGGTCAAAATAGATGTTCAATAATGTGGGAGCAAGAGGACATCCCTGTCTCACCCAAGGTGTACAGGGAATGGCTCTAACTCCCGGCCACGTAGTTTTACCCGGGCCCGCTCGCCATCGTGAAGGTCCTTAATGAGCGTGAGCAGAGGGTCAGGGACTCCGAAAGCACGAAGAACAACCCAGAGCCCAGGTCTACTGATGGTATCATAGGCGTTGACCAGGTCAATACACACGTCATTCCCACCTCCAGCCCAGATGACGTCATGTGTGTGTGTAGTGACGCTCCCCCGCATAGTGATGTCACATGTGTGCGTGTGTGTACGCAGTAGTGACGCTACTGGTCATGACACTTACAATCCTGCGGAACCTGTCCAGTGGTCCAGACTGTTGTTATAATGTCATGTAGGGCAGTCTGTGCACAAACGCCACCCTCCCTCAGCATTTCACTTGGGAGATCATCTCTGGCCGGTGCCTTTCCTGGTCGCAGACTCTGCATCGCCTTCAGTACTTCCTCAACAGATGGCACCTCAGCCAGCCACTCACAGGGGGTGACTTCCAATATTTGAGGAACCGCAGCCTCGGCAGGGGCATCCCCACTTAGTCCCACGTTGATTTCCTGGCTGAGGGATTTCCCCTCCCCCAGGACCTCAGAAATGCTCAGGAAATCTGCAAACCTGTTCCTGGGGGTCGGAAATTGGATCACCGTTTTTTCCTCTAATGATTGTAATAGGTGTGGCGCAGCAGGTTACCTTTTTGATGGAATTAAAGAACGATTTGTGATTGCGGGCATTGAGGCAGACTCTCTGCAACCTGCGACCACCACCCATCCTTGCAGCGCCTCGCAGCTCTCCGAACCTCCGAGCGAAGGCTGCGGTAGGCCTCATTCTCCGACGTGGGATGCTGTAGCCGATGAGAGTGGACCTGTCACTTTTTCTCAGCCAGCTTGAACACTTCCTCTGTCAGCCAAGGTCCTGACCGCGTACCCAAAGCAGACATTGCAGCTGCATGAGTCACAGTCCTAAACCTCGCCCATTTCCTCTCAACATCAGGAGGAGTGGGGGACGATGCCAACTCCAGCCACAAGCGATGATGAAATTCTCGCTTGCAACTTTCATCAGCTAGCTGAGACCATGCCACAGGGTTTGAATGGGGTCCTGGGTATACACCCACTACCAGAGTGGAAGAATGGCAGGCGCATCTTACAGATGACAAGTCGATGGTCAGTGGGCAGATCAGCTCCACGGTCGGTTCTGGTGTCAAGGACATGGGCCCGCATCCGCTGTTTCGTCACTATGTGGTCCAGCAGATGGTCTTGCTTGGACCGGGCATGCATCTATGATGTGGTGTAGATGCGCCGATGCCAGAACAGCGTGTTGGTAATTACAAGCTCATGAGCTGCACAAAATCAAGCAGCCTCCTGCCGTTGTTATTGAGCTGATCTGGCCCATGCCTTCCAATTACTCCAGACCAGGTGCCAGCATCATGACCAACTCGGGCATTGAAGTCACCCAACAAGATGACTCTATCCCGAGGGGCCACTTTAGCTAGCACCTGTGACAGGAGGTCATAGAAGGCATCTGACTCATCGCCCTTGCCTGCATCTCTTCATGAATGTTTGTCTTCAGTAGGGGCATAAGTAACCACGACCACCACTCCTCGCCTCTGGTTGATGGGAAGGCAAGCCCAAAGTAGCCTGGGACTTACAGCTTCCCACACCTCACTGCCACGCTCCCACGCCCCCTTCATTATTTTAGTCAGAAGAAGAGCCACACCCTGTTGTTTGGCAGTCTCCTGCCCCGAGTAGAGGACTGTCCACAACTCATGGTGGCAGAAGCCAGAGCCGGTCCATCGGACCTCTTGAATACCACAGATCCAGGTGTGAAAAGTACAGCTTCCAACAGAGGAGTGGCAGCCTCTCCTCCGCAGTGAGCATTCGAACATTCTACGTGGCCACACATAGTGTTTTTGTTATTTCTGGAGGAGCCCCGAGGGTAAGGATTCAGTCTCCTGGCTCCGCCAAATGGGGTTTGGCCAGGAAACAGTGAGCTCGACCGAACACGCATCACTTGGCAGGGTCCGCCCCCCCCCCCCCCCCCCCCCCCCTTACTCATTTGGCACAATCACACTAAATCGCTAATTTAACAAATTTAAAGGTGACGGACGTGAAAAAGGAATAGCCTATTCTCACCACGGGGCTTAGGGCATTCTGCCTGGCAATTTATTTTGGACTTATACCCCCACTGTCCGAGAGTCAAATCCCTCGCAAGCGCGTGCGTGCGGAGACTTTTATATATAAGAGAAGAAGAAGATAGTTCCTCAACCCGAGCTATGAATGCTCTGGTAGTTGCATAGCCTTTATACTGTAGGCCTTGACTTCAACATAGCCATTTCTGTGACCAGTCACAAGCTAATCACTCAGCTATTTCAATGCTAAATTCTATGCTAAT